CCCAGCGGCCAAGTGCTACCCCCTCCCCATGGTTTCGCACAACGATGCTGTACCCTGTCCTTTCCCGAACGGTGCGAGATAAGCACTGATTTCTGAATAGCTCTAGGTTTACAGCTTTTTTTACTGCTTATCCTTATTTAGTTTCCAATTTGAGGCACATCTTTTCTATTACTTTGATGATCGCTTGGGAAAATTCATCCGGAGATCGATAGTGGTAGAAGACTGGAGCCAGTTTCTTCGACTGTTAAACAACCTTCAATCACATAATTTTGATGGATTTGTACGATCAGTGAACTCAACTTCTCTCGGCAACTCTTGTCTGGTCACAGCGCATACGTTTTTCATCATGGAATTCTACGACCTTCATACATCCATATGCAGAGTTGGCCCCGGCAGTAAAAAAGACTCGCGATAAAAGTGCATTTCATTACCGACCATGAGACTTGAAGGCAAACTGTTCACTCACGTCCCCAGATCCTGGTCCTTGCCATGAGCGAGGTGTCTGGGTCCACAACTGCAGTAGCGTTCCCCTCCAGTCCAAAGTGCACGGGAACGGGGTGGGGGAGGAGGGGCAATGATATCGAGCGTGGCGGGAGAGTGCTAATGATATCTCCAAACTCCGCCCGCGCTGCCACACGACAAGTCACACGCCTAATCATAGCCAAACGCGCTACTCGTCTGCGCCCTCTCACTTCTAATTGTTCTCTACCACTGACTGAGTGTTTTGCTGCGGAATCTTGGTAGGTTATCGACGCAAGGCTGCTGCACATTGCAGGATACGGTGGGCTTGTGATGGCGACGGCAAAAGGTATTCACTACCTCTTATAGTCCTTACCAAGCCCTCTGGATTGCTGGAGCATGTAGCGAGCCAGAATTGAGTTACCCAGCCACTGACCCTTCTTTATCCCGTCTTCGTTCCATGTTGGAACGAACCAGTGAAGAGGACAGAGCGTTACGCCTGGATCCGCCCATACGAACAGCGTAGAAAAGCCCCTAATTCATTGCCTTCCCAATTTGCTCTTCTTCACTCGTCCTTGATTGTTTTTTGGCTTTCTCCCTTGTGATGCCGAGATTTGTCAGCGTAAACTTTTCCAATCGATATCCCTATCAATGCACTGATCGATTTCAGGCTCCCTGAAGAACTCGTATAAGTCGTTGCTGGCATAGGAAAGTGGCGTTGGCAGGGATGGCGAGCCCCACCTGCCAGCATACAATCAAAAATATAGAAGAAACTTGTAACAAACTCAAGGAGAATGCAAGGAGATATGGATCGATCTTACAGATCGAGAACGTGAGTTACTTTTACAAGGCTTGTGAGATCCCGCCCATCTCCTTATCGCGAAATGCCTCAATTATCAATATCCAAGACACTTATACGATTACGATTCCTTGCAGAGATGCAATTTGTCTGGCCAGTCAACACGCCTCTTGAGGTTCATGAGCTCGTAGGACCAGAAAGGTAAGTACCATGTTTTGGGTTATATTGAGCTTAGTTTGCGATTGGACACTTCGCCTTCACGGTTCTTTCGCTTCGGAGCTCCTGACATTTTAGATTTGATGCTTCCTCGCCAAAGTATCAGATGCCATTTTTCTGGACGAATACTGGCGTACCTGCGACACCATCTTGGTGGGTTTCATTCACTTATGAATAAAGACTGGAAAACAAGGTCCCTGGCCCTGGTCAATTATTTTTAGGATGCGCCACGTATATTGGTCCTATTCAGGCTCGTAGTGGCTTTTTGAAGGCATACACATGACCTACCCAATGTCTTGTGGGGCCGCCCACATAGAAGTCGGCGTCTTTCTTTCCAAACGACACCGGTGATCATTTAGCTTCCCCAACGGGATGGAAGGCTGGGCTCAAATAGGAGCTTAGGATGAATTTGACCCTGGAGCGCGCGCACTGTAATCTTCTCCATTTGCCAAACACTGTCAGGAAACATGGGCGCGTTTTGCTCAATTTTACTACTATCTCCTCCCCCCCCCCCGAATCTTCTCCCTTGCGTTCGACCATCTGTCGCATTTCACCCACCCACTTTCCCTTCCCCAAAAAAACCTTCCGCGGATCTAAGCTTATTTGGGGGAGGGGTGAGAACAGGCACTTCCGATAAGCTCGTAGTTTTGCCTCACCGTCAACTAGGGAGAGATTCAGCTCGCGTGCAACGGAGAATTTCTTAACCGGGAAAATTTCTCGAAGGTCGCATACTACCCCCCCCCCCCGATATCCGACATTTGTCGGGTTTTACACAATCACCTTGAGCATTGTTGCCACTACATCGTTTCCCTGCAAACCAGAGGGTGTGAGAAGGGGCGTGAATCGGAGCGCAGAGAGGGCAGCGTTCTCCGCCAGTTGTTGCGTACCAGAGGGGCATCATTGGCGGGAAAAGCCGTCGTAGCTGCGCTCCAATCCACGCCCCCTCAGACGCCCTGTCCTTTGCAGGTACCAGACTGTAAACAAGTAAACAGACGTCTAATCAACTCTATTCAGGGCTATGATTGTATGTTTGATCGAGTGCGCATTTGGTTTATTCGGCTACACACTGAATGTGCTTCATTTTCTCATTTATTTATACAATTGTGATGATACTCGTCTAGCATGGTTCGTATTCTTCGTTACCATCGTGCAATATTCTGTTTTTTACTCATTTAAGGTAAGTGACCGTTATCGATATATTTTTATCTTCAGAGGCAACGCCCATTGAAGTGACGCGCCACATGGGCACTCCGTGACTAGTCGCGCTGGGACTGGCGCGGCAAAACCGCGCGTAATTTGGTCTCCTCACCACACGGTGTCACCTCCTCTTCGAGCTTGTCCCTGCCCCCGCGGCTCCACTCCCCAAGTCAAGATCATCTACTCAAAATGGGTTCCATTAATGAGGTTTTGGCGCGGTCTGCTGCCGCCTTTAATACCACTAATTGCAACCGCGGAAATGCGCCTCTCAATTAAGTTGCGGAGAACGCTGTGTTAACAAAATAATTGACTAAATTCCATGAACTGTAATAAATTGTGACCTTTTTCTACGCTCCTTCAGTTGACTGAAATTGGCGAGCACTTGTGATCTTTTGTTTGAAAGCTCTTTTTTGTTCTTTATTTCACTTTTGTGTTCCAGTGCGGTGCCTTTATTGTGGCATGTTGACCATTCCAAAGTAATGCCGAACAGGATTAGGTCGCAATACGCGCGGAACATCAGTGGAGGCGAATTAAGAACGCGCCTTCCCTGATCAGGACATTACCATACATCATCTACGCACCCACATTACAGTTCTGTTACTCACCTTCATATTACGTTTACTATTCCAGAATGATCCATGCTGATCAGATTCCGTTGAGGGCCGCATAGCTCAAGTGACCATCAACTTTGACAGTTCCCTTGCACCTCTCGAGAGCCTGAACCTCTCTCTGAGACAGCCTGAAGTCCTGATCGGATTCTGGTTTTGAAGGGCCCTGCCCATCACAAATTGAGCACAGGCTACGTTTTTCTGCTTTTCGATTCAGATCAACATTTACAATTGGTACAGTGCTTTGTGGGCGACTAACTAGTTCTGCACAGCGAACAGG